TACGCATCATATCAGTTTAGAGTGCATCCTAAGCAGATACAATATTTGCACCAAATTCCTTGGAGCCTCCCACATGACCTGAAACATCAATAAATACAAAACATCATTCAACTTTGACAGTGAGTCCTACAAATTTTCTCAGCTCAACACACAAATTCATGTCACATATTTTACCAGGCTTAAAGTTAAATTTACTTAACATTTCTACAGCTGAACGGTTGGATGTGTGCAAGAATTGGAGTAGGGTTGAGATGGACATAACCCATTATGAAGGCCAGCATTACCTGACTCTGATTGACTGTGGCCCTAGCCAGTTTTCTGTCTTGCAGTCATCAGGATGCTGCCAGCATCATCCAACAGCTAGAGTCATTATTCTGTATTTGCAAGGTTTGCCAAGAACTGGGATGTCTGACTTAGATTAATGAATGGCATCATGGAGAGATGCCATCACACCATCAAGCATATCGCTGCTCAATCAGGATGTTCCATTAGGGAGGCATTATAATGGTATAATGTTATGCCAAAAAATGACACAACAGCTTTCTTGGCAGCAGCCGACACTACATACAATTATCAAGTCTGCATAAAAAGTGTTGATGTCACAATACCAATTGAACACACAGATTCTGGAGTCTACAGAGCGGGAGATGCAGTTTGGGTAAAGATCCCACATGGTCACTGTTTGACGCAATTCAAAAAAGGAACAGTAACATGGGCTTACGGCCCACATTTTGTTCTCATTAATAAAATGCCATGCCATATCAGAGACCTTCATCCTCAGCAGAGACTGCTTTGTTGGAAGATGACTGCAGTGATGTCATCTGAAAGCAACTCAGATTCGCTGTTTATTTTTCAACCCAGGGCCAAATTATTCATTTACAGAACCAGTGGAAACAGATGCTGAAGATAATGATGATGACACCAGTAACAAAAGAGACCAAGTGGGCAAAAATACAGAAGGGACAGGTGGAGCCCATTCACCTTTACATTTATGTGATCAGGGATGTGTGTAGAACAGAATGACACCTTAATTTAAGAAAGACACTATCTGGGAGCTATGAAATTTCGCAAAAGTACACAAGTGAGGAGGACAGTGTTCATATATTGGAACACTGTGCTGTTTTTTTCTGTTCAGAGAGAATTGGACAGTTAAAAAGCAATTACTTGGATCAGTTTCGCACAAGTAACTCAACTCTCCAAGTTTTTCTTCACTGTTGCTGTGGCCAGGAATTGTTATTTAGTGTCATTAAATCTAATTATTTTAAAATACCACATCTCAATTGCAGTGAAAGCAATCTATGATCCCTTCTTCATCTGCAAGGAGATTGTCCAGCATTCACTGCCATATAGGAGGACCAATATTACATAACAGTTCAGTACTCTTTTCTTAAAAATACTTCATGTCCTTTGGAATGTTGGCATAGGGGTATTTGTTTTTCTTTAGTTGTCTTTTTTTAAATGCAATGACCCTTTAGACTCTTCACTATTATCTATGAATTACCATTCATACTTGGGAAAGATAACAGAATGGTTTGCCATTGCCTTATTCAAGATTAGGAATGCAAGGTTTTCTTTCTCTTAGACTAGTTGCTGCACAAAGTTTACCCTGTTATCTAATCCCCTAGCTGGAAGAAAATCAGATTTATTGTTTTCTCAAATGAAAGACCACAATAGACTAGCTCAGAACATTAACTTGGTTTGCTAGTTCCACTTTCTATGCTAAGATCTGCCATATTCTCTGCGCATGCATAATGTGGTTTAAAATTTTATAGTCACCTCAGGTCAATTGGTAGAAACAAAATTTTATGTTGTTATTTTCTCTTCCAGTTACATATGCTATTTTACTTGCTGCTGTTGCTGAAAGTCCTCAAGTGATATGGTTTCTGGTATTTAGTACAGTGCATTCATTGCAATTCTGTGAATACCTGAAGGTGGGCAGAGAGTATTTGGCTGAAAATATTGTATCTATAATTCTTCAAGATGTTGACAATCATGGCTCTCCAAAATTTCTTATCCTTTGTAGCTCTTAGTAAATTTTACCTTTTTGTTATCTCTCCTAAACCCTTTTCTGCCATCAAATTTGCCCAAGTGCATTAGTTAAGTTATGTGCTGTTTTCCTTTATCCCTCTTACCTTCAATCTGTCTCGTGAGCATCAAATTTTCCAAGCCCTCTTTTTCTCAAGAAAATTTCAAGTATCTCTTTCTGATATTAAGTGTAAGTGTCCATTTTGCTTCCATTTTCTTTAAAACTTCATCATTGCTCCTATATTTGGTTCTTGGTATTCTCAGCATCCTTCTGTAGAACCACATTTCTGTTGATTCAGGTCTCTTCATCTGAGAGGAAATTGTTCATTATTCACTGGCATTATAGGTGGAGAAATATTACAAAACAGTTCAGTACTCTTTTCTGTGTTTCGAATGAAATGTTTCTATTTCTTGATACTTTTCTTAGCTTTTGGAAGGTATTTTTTGCTTTCCCAATGCAGTTTTAGTGTCACACATTCTATCCATTATTAAAAAACATCCCAAATATTTAAATTATTGTACTTGTTTGATTTTGATATGTCCAATTTGTAATTTGCATGTTGGGCTGTTGCCTTTTGCTGAGAACTATACATTCTGTCTTCTTGCAATTCATGATTAGTCCTTTCTTCTCACTTTCTTCTTCTGTAGAAGTTCTTGTAGTTTACTTTCTTTGTCTGCTATCAACACTGAGTCATCTGCATATCTTATGCTGTTAAGATTGTGGCTGCCAATAATGAATCATGGTAGGACTTCTTATTTATTCACTTAGAATCACTTCACTGTACTGGTTCAGTATGTTTGGTTAGAAGATATATCCTTCTCTTACAGTGATGTCTATTTTTGTATATTTACTGAACTCATTTTCAATCTGTAGGCAAGCTTTTTGGACTCAGTATAAGTTTATTCTAATATCCTTCCAAAATATGTCAAAGTAATCTTTAAAAATCAAAGAGCACAATAGTTTGGAATTAACAGAGAATTCCTCATTTGAAAAATCAAACAAAATTTTGAAAGAATCAATTGATATCTTATTGTAAAATGTAAATCAAATCAAATAAAATTTGTCAAAATGGGACATGTCCTTTCTTCAAAGTCAATTTTTTCTTTGAACACTAGTTGATATCAAATGGTTGAAAAATAATTAGTTGCCTGTTATTTTTTTTCAAATACTTTTTTCATTCCTTTTTTTTTTTTTTTAAACTCAAGATGAGTGTATTCCATCAAATACCTACAGTATGTTCAAAAGGGGAAAATAATTGGGAACTTAAATCAATGGGGAAGCAAAAATAACAGCTGAATGAGGTTATGGTTTCTCTTCTCCTGTATCTATTTTTAACCTGTTTGATAATATATAAGCCTTTTTTAAAAAAACATTTGCTCTTAGGAAATGACAAGAAAAATTCACCAGAAGATTTTGGCAATGTTCTTAAAATTTCTTATAAATTTGTATTGAAGATTTATTAAATTAGGTCAGTTTTAAAAGAAGTTCAGCACCAAGACATATTTATTTTAACAGTCAAAGATAATTGATCTTTAAATATTTTTAATCAATGCAAGTTTTACATGATCCACTTTTAAAGAAAATTATTGATTAGTGTAATACACATGTAAAAAACGATATTACTATTTCAATGTTTTGACTACTGGACAATCTCCTCACAAATGCAGAAAAGACTTGAAGCAGAAGAGATATAGTTCTCCAGAAGGATACTGAGAATATCATGGACTGAACATGGAAGCAATAAAATAGTTTTAGAGAAAAAAATGAAGCAAAATAGGCATACTTAACCTCAGAAAGAGATAGTTGAAATTTCTAGAGCTTGGAAAATTTGATACACAGAAGACATAACTCTTGTTCTTTTGTTGTCCTTTCTTCTTAATAGTATATTTTTTTCATATTCTCTAGCATTTAGTAACCTCTTGCATCTTAGGGGCCTTATTGCCTTGCTTGGGGGGAAATGATTAAAAAAAAGTATTGCATGCAAAAGGGACAGTGGAAAACATAAACTACCCAGTGAATCTGAGTAAATGAATGTGGAACAGGGTATATTAAGAGGTACAAAGGATAGGAAATTGTGAAGAGTCATGATCCCCAGTGACCTGAAGGGACATGGAACATAGATAAATCTAGCATTTATAATTAATGATATGTCAACAATTTGGGGGCCGTTCAGTGTCAATATCAATCTTTTTTTTTCTATTTTGCTCTTGTTTAGCCATAAAAATATATTTCTAATAGAACGAGTGAGGAGAAAGGAGAATAACTGAATACTGTTCTTTTACTGTTCGTTTTCCTTGCAGTAACACCTTACATCTTAGAGGCATTATTGCCTTACTTGGGGAAGAATGATGGCAAAGAATGGGACAGAAACCAGTATGAATAAATTTAATGTTAGCCTTTCTATATCAGTCTTCATCAAGAAAATTTCCATTTTTTTTTTCATATTTTATATATATCTGATACAAATAATTTTCAATTAACAAATGTCTACACATATCCTAGTATTTTAGAATAAATACTCACTTCCTTTATGAATTATTATTAGATTTATTCATGTACCTATAAATATGAGAAATTAAAACAAATCCTGTCCATGTTCATAGTCCAGCAAAGGCTATGTTGTTGACTCTTCTCACAACTTTTAATGTAAGTAAATATTCTAAGATATTGAAAATACAGTTGTTCTTGATTCACTTGATTGTCTTCTATTTATCCAATTCCGATGGGCTTTCTTTCTGCTTGTATTTATACCCATGTCTGAACATTTCACAAAATTAAGTTATTCAAGAAACAATCAACCAATATTATTGTAAATTAAATTATTTGAGGGAGGAAAATATTTGCAAATATGAGACAAAACTGTGACAAGTGAAAAAAATAGAGGTGTAAGAAACAATCAGGGGAAAAGAGAGAATATATGAAAAGGAGGTGGTTAGAGTGGGAGGAACAATGGTTAGAGAGTCAAGGAGAAAAATTAGAGGATAAAGAAGCAGTGAACAGAAAAGAGAGAGAACATGTGAAAAGATAATGGGTTGAGTGAGAGAAACAAAGATAAAGACAAGCAGATAAATAAACTGGACAAACTTGGGAAGAAAAGGAACAGTGAAGAAATGAGAGAGAATATATGAAAGTAATGGTTTGAGCGAGCAAAACAATGGAAAGTAAAAAAAAATAGGAGAAGAAAGGAACAGTGTGCAGAAAAGTGAGAGAATATATGAAAAAGCAATGGTGAAAGTGAGAGAAACAAAAATAAAGTGAAGAAGAAAAACTGGAAGAAATTTAAAGACATAAAGAGCAAGTGTAAGAAAAGAAAAGAAAACAAAATGGAGTCAGAATCAGAAGAAAAAAGATAAGAATAATTTTTTAAAAAATGAGGAAAAGAGAAATAAAGTAAAACAAAGGGAACAGACTGTGTGAAAAGAATACGAGAATTTTTTTCTGCTTTTTTCATATTATTGCAATAAAATAGAAAAGTAAATGCTTCATATTGTTTATCATACAATACCATATTCCGTGTTAAAGTGCACATGAGGACTTGGTTTGTTCACAAAGGTAATAAAAAATTATTTTTTTCTTATTAGTTTTCATTTTGGTTCATTTATTTATCAAACAAAATCAAGACTATGTTTTCTAGCATAAAGTAAACTGCACATCTTCCCTTCTTACTACATATACAGCAACCTCATTCAGTAACCCTCTACCTAGAGAGGCTTTTGGGCTTTGTATGGGGGTAAACATTAGTAAAAAAAAAAAAAAAAAAAAAACCCTCAAAGTTCTGTAAAGAGAGTTTAACTTCATTCTTTTCCAATTCCTGATAATTACAAAAATAGAAGTTACACAACATCAAATCAGACAAACCTTATCACCATGACTTTAATTGATTCTCTTTAAGCACACTTTATTTATAAACTTCAAAAGATATCACTTTCCTAATTTTATCAGATATTAGATATCTATCATAGAGAATATGTTTTTCCCATTAAAAGTCAATTACACTCCAAATTTGTTTTCGACAAATCTTGTTAAAATTTATGTGTAGGAAGAATAACTAAAAACTAAATGAAGACTTTTTACAACTGTTTTCTCAGATTGCTGATTAAACATATCCTCAAGCAAATGAATCAAGTCTTAAAGAAGGCATTTGTTGTAATGTAAGCAAAGAGTTTGTTGAGATTGGTGGGGGGACACCTAACCGATTGCTCTCTCAATAACTACGAAGATAATAGGTAGAGAGGGGAAAGAGGTGGGAGGTAACAAAAAATAGCTGCCTTGGAAACCATAGCAACTTGAGGAACAAATTGTCCATATGACCGACTTCACAAGACACCATGTCTTCCAACTTTCAAATGCTGTTTTCCACAAGCATTTGTTGACATGTGGCATCTTTTACAAAGACCCAGATCTTGACCAGTTGCAGATAGGCCTGTATCTAGCTAGACATGCCAAACTGTTGCACTGTTAATGGGAAAAAACCCATATGTAACTGATATTGACAAATATGTCTGCATGCAATCCAAGCCCTCTTTTTTATCTGTACTGACACACATTTACTACAGCATTACTTTGTCAGACCTTACAGACTGGAGGTACAGAATCACAAGGAGCCTTACTACATATAAAAAACTACATCATTTGAACACTCCCTAACAGCAACTAAAAGGGTTTCACATATAACCAGAAGGGTAAATAATGATATAATTAAGATGTCAATTTTCCACACTACATTAAACAAAAGGTTAGAAAAGAAACTTCAGTCAGTACTAGAAAAAGTGGTAACAGTTAATGGACATGAGAAGTCCAATTTTCCTTTAAAGCTGTCTTAAGAAAAAGATTTTATGAATTTCAACTAAGAGTAACAGCAACTCTTTGATTTATGATGCCAAATGTTTTCCCCATTAATATATTTCATCTAAGAAATATAAAATAAACAAACTTTCCAAAAGAAAATTTTGGATCCATCAACGCACTTTATTCCATTGTAAGAAAACTTTAATGTGATACCAAATGAAACATTTGTCAACTTGTTGTTTATGTGATTAGGCAACCTGATAGATACCCTCATTATAAAAACAATAGATATAGTATGTAACAAAAAATAAATGCCTGAACATGGACAAAATATACTTGGCCTCCAGAGCAAAGATAGAGATATCCCAATGCTTGTGTTCCCTGAGGAGGAGAAGGTTAGGTAAAGAATAGCCTTGTCATCTAGTGTGGAGTTAGTCAAAGTTCGTTGCAGATGGCTTAGCCTTATCTGATGATGATGAGATAATCTCAGGATCATTTATAGTGGAGGAAACTTACTTTATTTCTGTTGAGAATTGAAGTACAATATTCCAGAACTCATGGGAGCCAAGTTTTTTGTTTTCTACTTTGGTTTGTACTGTTTGTTCATAGCCATTTTTTGCATTTCCCAAGACTCTCTTGCAGTAGTTACACACAGTTCTGAATGAAGCAAGGGTTCTGCTACACTGTTCCCTCTGATAGAGTTGGGATTAAGGTGAGCCATGGCTGCAGCATATTCAGGTATGAAACAAGGCTGGCTATTTGATTAATGCTGGTATTTTTTGTGAAGGATAAGACATTCTATGTCAGAATTCATTTGAAAATGAGCAGGGAAAGATGCTTCTGCAATCTAAAATCTGAAGCTGACCCAATCAACTTTTGTGTATCAACAGAATGTCCTGTGAAATGCCACATCTGAGGATGCCTTTGTCTTGACATCAACCTTGACATAGATCAATGAATGTTTTTAAGTACTCAAGGGAGATAACATCTCAGCAGAACACTGACCAGAGAAGAAGGTGAAGAACAAGTCCTAAAGGATAGAATGATGCCCAGCTCTATCTGGAAGATGAGTAGGCTTATCCACAATCTCTTCACAAAATATATATGTCAAAGAAAGGAGAAGAAAAGAAAAAAATTATTTCCTATCTTTCATGATGTCACTACTGTGTATCCATACAAATCAACATATTAGCTTTTTAGTTTTTCACTAGTAAGACAAATTACTTTTATTTCTTGTCCAGTCACATTTTTTCTTATTCCTTCACAATAAATTGCTTATTCTTTTTTGAAAAAAAATCAGTTACACATACATACACAGCATTTATGCTGATGATAACTATTAACTTTTATCTTAATACTAAGTCAGTTTGATAAATTAAAACTGACTGCTGATCTCTAAGATAAAACTCACTCATTTGTTACCCGGGGCAAGAAATGGCTTGTAAATTTTAACAACTCCACAATTAACTGCTCTCTTAATCATCATAGAAGACCATTTTTCTTTCCATCAGCATGGCTGATGCTAACCTACACGAGAGAAACTGATTATCTATTCTTGATCTCATGTTTTCCACTAAAAATAAGTGGAATGATTATATTGGATCAATTGTTAAGTGACTGCAAATCATATTATTATTTCATAGTCTGTGGGGTTATCAGCTGTGTCTGTAGTTCTAGTAGTGACAGATTTTAGGGTGGACTACATTTCTTGTAGGTCAGATTGAAATTCATTAATGACTGATTTTGTCTAATGTTCCGTGGTGTGAGTAGAATCTATTTTGAGATTCAGGATTGCTGTCCGGTGTTGCTTGATGCAGTCAAGAATTTCTGTGTGGGTGAGGCCAGTGTAGTCTATTTCATTAGTTTTCCTTGCTGCATACTGACACAGGTTTTTATGCTCATGGTGTGTGTCAGCATGAAAAAAAAAACAAAAAAAAACAAGTACTGCTACTGAAGTGAAAGGAAAAGAGGAAAAGAATTGTTAATAGAAAATTCTTTGTATTCCTGAAACAGAGGATGTGCATGGAATGCCTTTTTGTGGTCAAGGGAAGCAACTTGAAGCAAGGGCTGGAGTTGATGCATTTGTTGGGTTGATTAACTGAGGTCAGGGGTGATGATACTGGGAGGTTGCTTTGCTTTACATTGACAAGTGACCTATTCACTCTGAATCTGTCTCAGTTATTTATGAGCAGATTTCATAAAAGCTAATCCAGCGAACATGTAGAGTGAATCAGAAAGAGGCAAAGTATAACAACTAGATATAAGCATAACTTCTATTCAAATAGTTTCTTTACTTGCACTTCTTGCCTGTGAAACTCTCTCCTGGATTCTTCTTCCCTCTCACCTATGATCTTCAAAATTTTAAGATCAACATCAATTGTCATCATCTACCTTTCTGAATCCTGTTTTTTTTTCCCTTCACCTCAATAATGACTTTTTCATTTTCTTCCACTCTCATTAACACTTTGTGGTATAGTCACTCTATCGCCTTGTATAGGGTGAAAATATTAAACAGAAATACAGACAGGCACACACACACACAAATATATATCCAATATATTTACAGATTCTTGATAAAACCTAAAGAAGAATCTGCAATGTTATTGACCTTTATCTAGCATCTCGATTAATTTTCCCATTGCCATAACATAGCTTCCTTGTGCCTTTTCTATAAATACTTTCATGTTAATTATTCTGATGTACTCCCTGATCTGGCATCTCATCTACAGAAACTTTCTCACAGACATGCCATCGCCTCTCTCTGTCTGTTTTACAAATACTTTCATGGCAATTGCTCAGAGGAGCTGCATTCTCTGGTTCCCAGACTTCATGAGTTCAAGCGCCCGATGAGGCTGGCATCCCGCTCTCACCCCTTCACTGTCAAAACTCCTAAATGTAGCCGTTCCTTTCTACTCCAATAGCTTCATGTCTCACACCTCTCGCCTGTGGAACTTCCTTCCCTCTTCCAGTTTTCCTGAGAGCTATAATCTCCAGCTATTCAAATGTAATGTCAATCGACATCTCCAGTTGCCTTGATCTATCCACTACCTTTCTCCTCATCCTTTCTTCTTTCACTCCTATCTGATCTTGCTCCAAATTTTCTGTAACCCCTTGCATCCTAGTGTCTTCCCACCTTGCTTGGGGTGAAACACTTAAAAAAAAAAAAAACTTTCCTCTATGGTACATAGACTTTACAAATTTAAGTGCAGTACTAAATTGGGAGCAAGGTCTCATCATTTTACAGTTGAAATGACTTGATCTTCAAAAATTTAAATATAATGCCAATCGCTAATGTCTTCTTAATTCTTCTTCGTTTATTGTCTTTTCTCCTTAATAGTAGTTTTTCTCATATCCTTTAACATTCAGTAACCTATTGCATTCTACTAGTTTTATTTCCTTGAATGGGGTGAAATGTATATATATATATATATATATATATATATATATATATATAAAATATGTACGAAGTGAAGGAAAAGTACCAAAAATGAACCCTAATAATTCAAAGCCTGCAAAGAAAGAAGTAAAACTAGAAAGAAAAAAACAATCACTTAATCAAAAATCAATAGTGCTCAATTGGAAATCAAACTAAGAGAGAGAGAACCATAACAATGACAACCAGGTATCCATCTCAGGACATTGATCAAAAATTAGAATTCTGAGATTTACATTAACTTGTTATGGTGTGATTAGTAGTTGGGTTGATCAAATATATAAATA